TCACTGGAAATATCTCGCTTCTAAGGGGAGAAGGGAAAAGGTAACGTAGGGAGAAATCTGGGAGTTATCGAAAGGGTAAGGAAAGTCAGATAGAGCTGCTTCTGGGGCTGTTGTTGCAAACCCACTAACCAACTGAAGGATGCTTTGGTGAACACCGCTCTGTGCGTCTGCAGGAAAAGGAAGAAAAACCGCTGTGAAATGAAGGGCATCTGCTTGAGCGAATAAACTGCAAAGAGACGAGCTTAAATCTCACTCCAATGAGATCTTTAATATGCTGTTTGGGTGTTTTAAGGGTATGAGAATGCCCTTTGATATTAGTGCTGCTCCGGAGATATTTCACACAGTAATTGCCTACATCTTTAAGGCACGACGTATTGAAGCCATGGTGACTGCTGATTTAAATTGGGCGATGGCTCCAGGAACTGAGACCCAGGCAGGAGCTGCAGGGAGCACAGCACACACACTTCAGAATGAACTTTAAAAGGTCAGAATTTGGTCTAGCAGAATTACCTGTACTAGCTCCGAGCTGAGCTGAGACGGCTTTGTTGCCAATTTAGATAAAATAGAAGCAATAATTAGAATGTCTAGCCTCCGGGATATAAAGCAGATCTACTGAGATTTATGAAAACAATATACTGTTGGGCAATATCCATTCCAAAATCTATGGCCGGCGTTTCCTCAGGAGAGCAGCACTGCAGGCTGAAATTGCCTGGCATGACGCAGGCAGGGGAGCGAGCCCCCAGAGGCCAACACCACGGTGATGGGAATGTTGACAGCAGTGCCCACAATGTTGGCATGGCCAAGTGCCAGATAGAGAGGGTTGAGCATAGCCAGTGCCTGCCCAGGTCAAGCCCTGTCCTGTTACCTGCACCGCAGCAAAAGGGAAGAAACTGGGCTCAGAGCATTCCTTCCTTAGGACATATGTGATTGCTTAAACTAGGTGCAAGTGCCTTACACAGCTCTGGAGCCCTGACATACCTATGCTGGACATGTAGGTCAGGTGCTGTGCTGAAGTTATGTCCCATTGCTCAGCATCCCTCAGAACCAAGCTCCCTGTGACCAACAGAAAATGGTTGACAGCATCAGATTCTCTCCACTAAGCCTCAGACTGGATGTTCTTTCTCCTGGATAAGAGTGAAACCACCCAGAGCCTTCACCCTCATTTTGGTGATGGATGGAAGCAGGCGGAGCCAGTAAAACATACACTTCCTGTGACAGGACATCCTCAGTGCCTGGTGGTGCCATCCATCACCTCCTTCTTGCATAGAGTCATAGAATTGTGGAATCATTAAGGTTGGAAAAGGCCACTAAGATTATCTAGTGCAATCCACCCACCACCACCAGTATTGTCTTCTAACCACATCCCTCTGTGCTGCATCTCCACATTCTGTGAACACCTCCAAGGACGGTGACCCCACCACCTCCCTGGGCATCCTGTGCCAGCGCATCACCACTCCTTTGGAGAAGAAATTGTTCCTAATATCCAACCTGAACCTCTCCTGGTGCAACTTAAGGCCATCACCTCCCATCCTATCACTGTTAGCAGGGAGAAGAGGCTGACCCCCACCTCACCACAATCTCCTCTCAGGGCACTGTAGAGTGATGAGGTCTCCCCTGAGTCTCTTCTTCTCCAGACTGAACAATCCCAGTTCCCTCAGTCATTCCCAGTAACAGTTGTGCTCCAGACCCTTCACAGCTGCATTGTCCTTCTCAGGACATGCTCTGGGCCTTGACGTTTTCTTGTATTGAGGGGCCAAGAGCTGAAAGCAGCACTTGAGATGTGTCCGAGCACAGAGGGACCATCACCTCCTGCCCCTGCTGGCTGCACTATTGCTGATACAAGCCAGGATGCCTACTTGGCCACCTGGACACACTGCTGGCTCATGTTCAGCAGCTGTCAGCTTGCATACCCAGATCCTTTTCACCTGCACAGCCCTTCTATTCCACTCTACCCCCCACCTGTAGCATTGCACGGGGTTGTTGTTACTTGTTGTTATCAAAGTGCAGGATCTGGCACCTGGTCTTGTTGAACTTCATCCCATTGGCCTCAGTCCATCAATCCAGCAAATAGCAGCCCATAAGTAGCCTGCGGGTCCATAGAGACAAGGAATGCAGCACTGAGATAGCAAAAAGAAAAGTATCAAAATCATAGGAGAGAATGAAGACACCAGAAAAAAGAAAACAGCCCATAAATGTGGGCAGAGCTGTGACCTACTCATTTAATCTATCAGAAATATGAGCACACCAGGTCCACGTGGAGGTGAGCAGGTGACAAAGTGATGCACACCTGTAATATACAGTGGATGTCTGAGCCGTGCATTTTAAACACCCTCCATGGGGACAGCTTTGCTCTAGTCACACTGCGGTGTTCATGCATTAGTATTTTTATTTAAAAACAGGAACAGAAGGGCAGAGGAATTGGAGAATAAATCTGAGTCCTGCGGCAAGGAAGGCTGAGCTGGGCCGGCTCTAGGGCGGCTCGGGCTGGAGAAAGCCACTCTTGCTTCGTTTCAGTAATGATAATGAAGAAATTGGGGATTCTTGTGCAGAAAGCAGAGGATTTATGAGAGAGCAGCTGGAGAGGCCAAGAGCAAAGGATAAACACAGAGATGGTAAAAGAGTATCTGACAAAACTCAACCCACATACTGTAAATCTGCAGGTCCAGACACAGCACGCTGGGGAATGTTAAAAGAAATCTCTGAAGACCATCTTGAAAAATAATCTTCCCTTCATCGTGGGAGTTATCTGGGGCTTGGAAAAGGCCAATGTGCATCCCATTATGGGTAAGATGGAGAAGATGGGGCAGAAGCTGCTGCCTACCCACCCATGGCCCTGGCAGGCAAGTTTAGTCTGATTTTTCCCCCATCCTTGCTCCTCTCCCTCCCAGCTCCTCTCATTACTGCTCGCCACACCAGCAGCCCCTGCCTGGGGCTTGGGAGCTCAGGGATCAGACAGCCTGTGTGCAGCAGGCGCTTTTTTCCTGCACAAACAACATTGCTTCAGTCCTTCCGGCGTGTTGGGAGCAGGTAAGCCTGCACTCCACCTTCGCTTCTACACGTGAGCCTTTTTTTCTGAAATAAGCAGGCAGCTGGGTGCTGGTGGGGAGCAGGGGAGCTAACTCCACATCTTATTTTCAAACTCCAGCACCTTAAATAACCCACAGCCTTTTAAAGTGCGCTCCCCTGGAAGTAAGAATTTCAATAACTCCATTCGCAAGTAACCTGCTGAGCTGCTGAGCCTCTCGCTCCCTCTCTGGGAAGCAGACGCACTGCCTTCCCCAGCTCCTCCTCGTTTTGGGAAAGGAGTGAGATGTGAGAGAGCTGCTGTGATTTGAGGAGCAAAAGCTGGGAGAAGTTTGCACAGCAGTATAAAGCAGGATGGGGAAGCTTCCCTTTGCCCAGCTCCTTTTTGTACACAGCTCACACCAGGGATAAATCCCAAAGAGTCTGCAAGTGCAGCACACAAAAATTTGGTAATTAGAAAGCTGATGTGGGGTATACCTTGAGCCTCACACACAGCTTGAGTTTTCAGGATCTCTGCAGTAATCAGGGCTACTTTGTCGTCAGTGGCAAGGCACCCAACTGCATGCTCCTGTCAGCCCAAAGGGATTCCAGCAGCTGTAGGGCTGTGGATGCGCTTTCCCTAAGCCACTCCACCTCCAGTTGTTATCCTGTTCCCTTTCTGAGAAGGCTGTTCCCATTACAGTTGGTGTCCTGCGTGGCCCATCTCCTCAGAGTTCTTCTTGTCGTGTTATAATGAAGTTTTCTTAACAACTGGATGAAAACTTGGTAGTTATACAGAATTCAGTGTGGGATAGAAATTGGTTGATGAGTCACAGTCTCAGAGAGTAGCCAGAAAAATGAAACTTCAAAATTGGGAACAATTTTAGTGGCATTACCACAGGAGATAGGACCAACATCTGCATTTAAAGCTTCATTAAATGGAGAAAGAATCAATGCCATTCATGCTAGTGTCGCAGTGGGCACCCAGTGCAGACAGGGATGCATCCAAAGCAGCCTGGAAATATTTTTGTCATGGGCTGAGTGCACCAAGACACAGCAGCCTGTAACCTTGGAGAGTGAAATAGCTCAGATATCTGAAAAGCAGCGAGATGGAGGAGAGCAGGTGAGAGCCGAGCTAATACCACATAATCTTGCAGTTTAACAGCTCTGAGCAGAGCTGATGCCATTCAGCATCATGAGCCAGGAGAAGCATGGGGAGCTACAGCCATGTGCTGCATGGCCACCCCATCCCTCAGCCCCATTCTGTCCCCAGCGAGACCAGGGCACGTTGCCACCAGTCCCTGCAGCCTGGCCACAGCAGTCCTTTGGATGCCAAGGTCCCTCCACCACATCCATAAATCTAAAGCAAGTTCTGGATAGTGCGTCCGTGAGGACAAATCCAGTGCTGCCACATAGTGGTGAAGAGGCAATTCAAAAGGCAACATCTGCAGAATCCCCTGGGGAACCTGCGGTCAGAGCCTTAGTCAGCCCCAGGCTCATGCCAGGGGCCCCGGGGGCAGCTGGCTGGCACAGGCCCATCCCAGGCTCCTTGGGGACTAACCCAACTCATTCGTGTGCAGTACTCCCAAAGGCATCACCTCCTTTCCATCACTGGTGCTGGGGATGTGTCCCTCATTATATCAGTATCACTGTGGGAAACACATCATTATTGTTAATGAAGGTTTCTTCAGTTTGATTTCAGCCCCAAATTTCTGTTTACATCCTCACATATCATCCAAACCTCACACGTGGGGCTTCCTATGGTTTCATAGACCCAACACCAAAGAGTTTTTCCTCCTTTGGCTACAACCCCAAAAGCAACACTGTGCTATCACATGTGCATCCTGCAGTGCCAGCTCACAGCCTTGGGACATGAAGGACAGGTTGCTAAATGTTGCTGCTCACATATGCAGAAAAGTCCCCAAGGGGAGTCCCAGGGAACCCATGCACCCACAGCTGTGCAGGCAGGGTGTACTCATGGTGCTTAGCAGCCCACGTCCCCACAGCTGCCTCTCATCAAGGCTCCTTGAAAGACTCAGAGCCCTCCAGCAGGAACCCTGACCACATCTACATTAGAAACAGAGCTCCTGACCAGCTGGAACAGACTCCTTTTGGAATGCCAGACAGGAATAAGTGACAGGTAGGATTCCATTTGCCCATGATCTGAATGAGTCCTGAAATAACACTTGTCCTTCTAGGGTGTACTTACTGCGGTGTTTCCTGTCTGTATTGCTGAGGCTTGCAGCCCTCCTGTATTATTTATCCTTCCTTGCAGGCAGCTACAACACCCTCAACTTTGGGATGAGCTGCATTCACAGTGCTATTAATGCTCCATTGCAGTCATTACTATAGATGTTAATTAACACTCTGCCTAAGTATTAGCCCTGTGGTGATCTGCTGGAAACTCTGTCCACCTCAGCAGGCTGTAGCTCACTGTTGCTTGTTGTTCACCCTGCTGACATCCTGTCTTCCCTCCTTGAGCTACTTCTGAGGTATAGGTGAGTCCACTGCTCAGAAGCTAGGAAATGCGATCAGAAGAAATTCCTCTATCAAAGAAAATAGTAAAGCTTTATATTGCATGTAAATACATGGCTGATGGTTGGACTTGATGATTTTAGTGGTCTTTTTCAACAGTAACAATGCTACAATACTGTGTATGATCACAAAGTGGGCACACCACAGCCAAATATGGAGGCAGTGGGATCTCCTGGACAGCACTTGGGTTCTCTTTCTCCACCCAGAGCTCCACAAGCCCTTCTGGCCTTGCTCCAGGCTGGCAGCTCCCTTGCAAGTGGTTCCCAGCCAAGACCCATGAGTCCTTCTGAGAGAAAGTGCTTCTAAAGTTCTTGTTCCCTGTTGGTAGCCAGCCTTCTTTGTTTTCAGATAAATGAGTTTACTATTGCTCATACTAAAACAAATATTGTTTGCTCCTGCGCTATACACAGCAGTCTGGATTGCTGAGCAAATGACTCCTTGCTGTTTGTCACCTGGAAGGGTGACTGTGGGGTGACAGCCACTGCTGCTGGCGGGCACACTGTGGGGCCCTGCCAGTTGGAGGGACCTTCTTCCCCAGTACAGGAAACTGGCAATGCTTTCCTCCCTCACCACCCACCAGCAGACTGGCAAATACAACTTGCTGGGTTCCCTAGCTGCATTGTGGACACACAGGTTTCTTGAGATATCTTTACAGAAATCTGGAAGTAGAGGCTGAGAAGTGAGATGATGCAGCCTGGGGATGATACAAAAACATTCAACTTGCTGAAATGAAGCTACACAGAGCTAAAGCTGATTGCAAAGAGTAGAGGGTGATCACATAATGCCGAGTGGGTGAATTTTAAAATGGCAAAGATGAAATTCAGTATCTGTAGTTTCAAGATAATACACAGGGGGAAAAAATAACCTTAACATTATGTATAAAATGAGGGCCTCTGCATGTGCTGTGAGCATCAGGAAGGGGGTTGAGGAGTCAGAATGTTCCCTGAAAGCAACTCCTCACCACTCAGCATTGTCCCTCTGTGTTCAGCACTAGTGAGGCTGCAACTTGGGTGTTGTGTTCAGTTCTGAATTCTTCACTGCCAGAAAGATATCGAGGAGCATGTCCAGAGAAGGGTAGTGGAATTGTGAAGGGTCTACAGCATGAGTCTTATGGGGAATGGCTGAGAGAGCTGGGATTGTTCAGTCTAGAGAAGAGACAGCTCAGGGAAGGTCTTATTTTCTCTACAGTACCCAGAGAGGGGTTATGGTGAGGTGGGAGTCAGCCTCTTCTCCCTGCTAAGAGTAATAGGATGGGAAGTGATGGCCTTAAGTTGAGGTTGGATATAGGAATAATCATAATATAATATCAGGTTGGATATTAGGAACAATTTCTTCTCCAAAGGAGATGTGCTGGCACAGGCTGCCCGGGGAGGTGGTGGGGTTACCATCCCTGGAGGTGTTCATGGAATGTGGAGATGCAGCATTGAGAGATGTGGGTAGAGGACAGTATTGGTGATGGGTGGATGGCTGGACTAGATAATCTTTGTATCCAACCTTAATCATTCTGTGATAGGTCTAAAAATGAATCTAGTCTTAGGAAATTTTCAGAAAAGAGTGGCGAACAGAGCAGAAGCAATCACCACATCACCCTTCTAATCCACTCTGATACCTCTTGCAGAATGCAGCCAGTACAGGTGCTTTCATTTTCTTCATTTGCCTTCCTTCTTTACTTAAAGATAATGTGTATTGGAAGAAGCATAAAAGCTGATACTATCAGTGTAGCCAATGGAAATTTGGAAAAGAAGGAGATTGAACATTGGTATTAATGAAACTTGTTGGTTGTAGTTATTCAGGGGTAAAGAATGAGAACTCACCATGAAGAGATTAGCAGGATCTTACAGTTCAAAATGAATGGACAAAAAAAAATGTCATTAAAATCAAGGTAGATATCCCCAAACAGATGTAATGGGAACACACAAATCTAATTTCAAATACATGTTTTGCTGTGTTAACTGTTACCCCACAGAGAGAATATACCAAGGTTATCACAGAGAAATGTCTGGAAATGTCATCATGGTGTTTGGCAGAGATCAGAAAAGCAAGGAAGATAGCTGAGGAAGGAATACAGAGCAAAACAGAAAAAAAGATGAGGTCATCATAAAACCCCACATCCCATTCTGATGTCCTGTCTGAAAAGCAAAGAGCAGAGCTGGGAACAGCAGAGCAGAGCACCAAGATGTGTGGCAGCAGCTCAGGGAACAACAGCCGTGCAAGGAAAGATTAGGATTATGGATCTCATAATGTTGAGGAGATACAGTAGAAGTCCATAAAATCAGAAATGATGTAAGGAAGGTGATCAAGGATGAACTGCTTGCTATTTCTCACTACACAGGAACTGGCAAGCTCCCGGCTGCAGTGGGCCTTGGGTGTAAAACCAACAATAGGAAGAACTTCTCCACACGATATATATACATACATAAATACATACACATTGAAAACTGTAGAACATGGTTCCACAAAATGCTGCAGGATATAAATGGGCTTAGAATGAGATTAGACAACTTCATGAAGGGCAGGAGCACTTGTGGCTGTGAAGCGCAATCTTGTGGTTGCAAATATTGTTTGAGAAGCTGAGAAGCACCATTGTATTGCAGCTCCAGCACATTTCTGCCCCTGGTTCAAGTGACTGAACAGGCATTCTTAGATTTCTATAAGCTGTTTAACATTCTACATATATATATATATATTATAAAAAATATTAATTGTAAGCTTATGGTTTCTGGTATATTCTTAGCCTTTGATAGAGAAAGCAAATGCTATTTTAGGACATACTGTGAAGAAGGCACTTTGCCAAGACAAGCCTTTGGTGCAGACTGTCTTCTTTCATCTGGTATCAGGGCTTTCTGCATTCCAGTATTTCCACAATTTTTAGTGTCATCTACAAAGTTTATGATTAACAATTCATAGTTTCTTCTTTCATCGCTGTTAAAACTTTCAAATTCGTGCATGGCCAGGAACCAATCCCTTAGGGCTCTCGAGTCCCACAGTCCTCATCCACCGTTACGCTGCCAAACTGCCGTCAAAACCATCAGAGAGCCACCACCCGATCCGCTTAATTTTTAGCATGTTTATTTGTATGTTTCTGATTTATTAAGGAGCATGTTTGGCATCAGTCTATTAAAAGCTTTCTTGTTGGTGGTATTAATAGACTATTACTTTTTATAATTGAACTTGTCAGCTATTCAAAGATATGTCATATTAGCTTGGTATTTTCCATAAACTCAGTGGGGGTGAGTTATATTTTCCAGTTTTAATTCTTCACTCAATTGCTGCATCACTCATTCCGTTCTTTGGCTGTGGTGAGCTGTCAGGGTGTGGGTGCCTACTTGTTGTATGCTTCCTCACCTGCTCAAACAATATCAGTTATGTAACTTTGTTCCCAAACTGAAGATGGACACCGATTGTCTGGAAAGCTTCCTGGCTGGCCCATATGTAGTTCTCAAATGTAAATTATCTAAGCTACAGATTTAAAAATGGTTCTATGCAATGCCTTTCGTGATCAACGAGAGTTAATTATGTCTCACCATCATTTAACATGACAGTGTCATCTATCTTTTCCTCTGAAGTTGGAGGATGATGATTAATAAAAAATTGTGCTTTTACAATTTCCTCATTTCTAGTAATAGACCAATATTACTGTTAGGATTGTTTTCATTCCAAATACACTTACAAAAAAAGGCTTTAAAAATTAATTATGTTAGGCATGGCTTTCTTGTCTCATCCTGACTGATTCTTCTTTTTAAAAAATGATGAAGATTAGTCAGGATCTTGGGTTCATCTGTACTGAATCTCAAATTTGTTTGGCTTGTGATTATCTTCCGGCGATGAAAAAATACTGCTCAACCCAACTGAAATGATGATTTGAAATAAATATGAAATTGAGAAAAAGGTGCAAATGAGTCAGTGCTGGTGAGAACTTTCTCCCACTTCTGACTGTAGGTCTGTTTTTTTTTTTTTTTTAAAATCCTCCCTACAATTCTATCATATCAAGGAATTGTGTGTGCAGTTTAGTAAATTCATTAGTTGGCTCTGGAAATGGAGTCAGGGAAGGGTGAATAGGGTGAATGCAGATGCAGGTACACATCCAAGAGTTGTCCCTACAGGAGACAATCAGAGGGGTTGAGGCAGATGGATACTGCCACAAAAGGGATCAGAAATGGAGCCAAGCAGAGGCTGGGTATCTCAAAGTCTATGAGCTAAACTAGAAACATGAGGAAGTCTCCAGTGGTCAGAAAGGTAAATGTAGAGCTGGGGCTGGCTGGAGGATGTGGAGGTGGGCCACAACTCCTTGAGGAGGTGGGAGCTGGGCAGTGGTGGCACCGGGGACCATCCCTGGTGTCCCCAGTGTGCAGTGCCGTCCATCACAGCCCTGGCAAGGGAAGGCAGCTAGCGTGGCTGAGATGCATCTTACGTCTCATTTACCCTTGTGATTTCCTTGCACAAATTCTTCTGAATCTCAAATCTTAGCCCAGATGACATGTTTAAGCCTTTCAGCAAATCCATCCTGCCATTTTGCATTTTGCCTTGGCATAAAAAAATTAGAGGCATGTCATACAGCTTTCCATCATAAAATTTTGCAGAGGCATAACAAATTACGTTAGAAGGAAATGGCTCAGTCAGTTTAAATTAAGACATCGTGCTTTTTTAATACTGATGACCTAAAGACTTCAAATTTTCAGGTAACTTGAGAATTCGAGAAATTGAGTTTATTAGCCTCTCTATAATATTGATGATAGATTTGGCTTTCCTTTCACTTAAGTTACTGTATTAAATAATATTGATGTTTATCATTCCGAAGATAGTCTTAGGAATTTGCTCTATGAAATTAGTAGAAATTTTGCTCTTGAGTTCGATGGGCTCAAGGTTTTACCCATAGCAATTAGCAGTCATTCTACTGTGTAAGATGGCTCCCTGAAGGTCTGCAGGGCATGGCATAATTATAACAGATTGTGCAATCAGGCTGTCAGGACATGCAACCAGAAAGGAGAACCATGGCTCCCCCTCTTTCTTAATTTTAAAATAAGATATTCCTCAAGAAGAACAGTAAATGTAAATGATCACATTTTAGTTACAAATGTCTAAAGTGTAAGCTAATGATTAGGATGAGTTACAGGGAAGGATTCAACAAAACATTGTGTCTGAAAATATTTACAAGCAATATTTCCTCGCTAATGAGGGAGAAGCGATGTTTGGCTGAGGCTGCCAGGCCATTCTGTAGTGAGAGTGGAGTACTCTCTCTAGAAAGAGAAAAAAGAGGGAGAAGAGATGAGGACAGACAGAGCATAGGATGAAGTCAGATTGGAAGCAGACTTAAGGGCACTATTTAGAAAGTCATTACAAAGGTCGCCAAGCCCGAGATCCACTTGGCTCCCTCCTTCCAGCTGTTGGTGAAGTTGCTGGAATTCCTTATGCTTGTTTCCTTTTCTCCCAAATGCTTCTGTGGCCCAGGTTTAGAGAGAGTGTGAGTTCAGCAGCATCCCCCAGAAAGAGCAAACCCACGTGTGTGCGCTCTGGGTAGGCAGTGAGAAAGGAGCACCGCATCCTTGGTCCACAAAGCTCCAAGAAAAAAGCATTGCATGGGAATCTGGAAGGAAGAGAAAAAAGTCCAGAGTGCTGTGATGATATACTTTAACAACGCTATTATTTATATATTTCATGGATTTATATAAATAATCATAAACGTGCAGTTGGTGTAGGTCTCTTGGGTAAAGGCATAAGCAGGCAGGTTTATAAAATGGCTTTATGTGCCAGGGTAATTGTAATGGCTCCTTCTGTCAGGTAAACACATAATTAGGATGTTTTCAAATAAATGTATTATGCACATGATTGAAGCCAATCCCGGCTGCAGTATAAATATTATGCTTTTTTTTTTTTTTTTTTAAGTTGTATAATTACACATCTACCCATGGAGCTCCTCGCCTGATAGGCATCTATTTATGCAACACCACACTGTGGCGTTTCCACAGGTGCTGGAGCAGATACTTGCTGAACGCACAGACTGCCTGATTTTCAAACTGCAATATCTCAGCTTTCTCTCAAAATACCAATTCTGCCTCAACCCCTTTTTGCCTAATTGCTTCTTAGATTTATCGTTTAATTAAAACTGTTCCTGGGTTATACAAACAACAAATCCCACTAATGTGTGTTTTTCCTCCGTACAAATTATTTTCAGAGGGGTGATGCATCTTCACATTTTGAAAGGATTGCTCCCTTCTCGGCGGGGCTGTCACTGCCGAGCGTGGCCTCGTGGTGGGAGCTGCGAGGTGAGGGTTTGGATGGCAGCGTGACGCAGCTGTATCTGCAGAGCCACGATGGCACCACTCAATGCCGTTCAAAAGACCGATGTGCTCTTCCAGCCAACACTGCGTGCTCTTCTTTGCTTGGAGCACGTGGGCAGTCTGTACAAAGCCCAAACCCTGCTCAAGTCCCACACCTGGAGAATGCCCCAGGGAAATGCTCGTGTTTCAGCAGCGCGACCACCCTTCAGAAAGAAATGGTGTTTGGGAACAAACCTGCATTTGGATGGTTTTGTAAAAGGAGTGCTGAAAAAAAAACAAACAAGGAAAGCTTTCCTGCAAAGAGCATATGCTGCAGCTTCCTGAAACAAGAGCCCGGCTCTGGTGAGGATTCTGGCAGTTTAGAGCCTTTCAATATTAAAGGACTCTCTAGCAGATTAGAGTGGCATAATAAAAGCTAATAAAAATGAAACTGGACAAATTCAGTGAAGAAATTAAGACATACGTCTTTAACAACAATAGAATTAATCACTGAACAGTAGAATTAAGACACTGGAATGGGCTCCAAAGGGATGTGGCAAATGCACCTGAAGCTGCAGCCCCTGAGCACAGAGCTTCACCCCACCTGGCCTCCCCAGGCACCACTGCTGCCCCTTTCCCTACTGAGAGATGGGAAAAACAGAGGAAGGAAACAAATTGCTCTCCTGCACCAAGGTTCTCTCTGCTTTTGTCTCTCAGATGCAATGTATAAAATGATGAAGTACATCCCAGCTCGCCTGCACGCTGGCTGTGCTGTGCCCCACTGGTAATGCAAGCAGCTACTTGAATTTACAGCTGCGTCACATGGCCGGAGCGGAATGCAGCAGCCAGGGCAAGCACTGCATACAGCTGGAACTACTGACACACATCTTAACCTAGGGAAGGCTTTTATTGGGCATGAAGCGGCATCTTTTACACTAGGATGTATTTTTACATATAATTTAGGCCAGCATAAAATCTCACTGTTGTAGAATGAAATTTCCATTGCTCACTAGGAAATCCTTCCCTGCTGCGGGAAGCAGCCCACCGGCCCTGGACTAAGTTGTATGTAAAAGCTCAGGGCTTTAAATCAGATATGCCTTCCATCAGGGAAGGGAAAGACTGGCCTCAGGGAGCAGGTCCCAGCTCCTGGGTGTCTGGGAAGGAGCTGGAAAGGAGAAGGGGCTCATCTCCCTACCCTGCATTTGCTGCAGCTTCTCTGCCCTTCTTTGCAGAACTGTTCTGATCAGTTCAGATTACTCTAAGCCAGCTCCTGAGATGGCACAGGATGTACGGTGCCACAGGAATGCCTGGGGATCTGTCTTGTACAACTGTGGTAAAGATCATTTTGTGTCTTAGGAGATTTTGAGTAGAGGTTTTGAGTTTTGAATACCAAGGTGAGCTGCAATAATTTAGGGTTCTTTACTTGCCTTTAGAAATTGCGTGTTTTATTACATCGCTCTACCTCGAAAGCTGTTGTCCCTTTTGTATTCATCTCAGAATTGAAGGATGGGGAGAGTGCTGGTTAAATCAAATGTGAATGTGATGGCCACAGTGCTTTCTTTCAGTCTCTTTTGTGGTGTTCTTCATGTAATTAAAATACAAAGCAGAAATTAGTGAAAACAAAACAACTCTTGAAGAAGATAGCTTCCTGCTAATATCCCATGGAAACAAAAACAGAAAAAAACACAGGATGATGGTTTTCTGGATTTGTGAATCCTGGAAGGTACCAGAACTATTTGGAGTGAACCAGACCAGGCACCCATGCAGCCCTATGAGCTGCTGCAGCCCTGCACGGTGCGGGAGAAGGAGCAAAAAACAGCAAGGGCTGTGAGGGCTGTGCTGCTCTCAGCCTGACCACTATGAGTTAAAGACCCAAAGCAGAAGGCAAAATAGTGCTGGATTCTTTTAGTCATTATGTCATTATACACAACAACACCAAGTATCCTTGGTATCAGAGGAATGCAGTGCTCAGATAACAGAAAAATTGTGAAAGTCGTGTCAACAAAGCTCATTTGGGGGATAGAGGAATGAGGGTTGTGTGTGACACCCTTGGCCTTTCAGCCACAGCCAAATCTCACGCACTGAAACACCACCAAAACACAACAAAGCCACAGCACAGCAGGCCCAACTCTCCTTCTTGAGAGAGAATGGAAAAGGAGAACAAATCACCCAGCCAGACATCCATCACATCACTTCATGCATGACTGAGAGGTGCTCAGAGACGATAGCGAGGAGCCCAGGCCAGGAACCTGCACAGCGCGGGCTCAGCAAGCGACGTGCTGCAGTTGTTAAAAAGACCTGAGGATGGGAAATGTGGGGTAGGGAAACAGAAATGTGGGTGAGCTCTGCCTGCCTGTGGAAGGTCAGCTTTGAGGCGAGCTGTGAGCTTGCTGCTGGGGTGGGCTGTCCTTTAGAGCAAAGTCTGCCCAGTGTTTATTGCCCTGTCCTCACCCACTTTACAGCTCTTACGCTTGTGAACAGTTGTCTTCAAAGCTGGGATGCATTTTTCAGGAACAGGTTTCCACATCCATTGCTATGAACACTCTAATGAGAGCAGTGTTTAGGAAAAAAAACAGTACAATCAGTACAAAAGTAACTGTTACGCTTTTGGCTGGAATTATGCTGTTTAGTTTAGTTTAGTTTAGTTAAGTCTAAACAAAATATATTCCCTGAATTTCTGACTGTTTTGAAGTGGGAAAGCTCTACCCACCCTGATGCACAAAACAGCCCTTGCAGCTGATGTCTGAAGTGCTCAGAAGACTGCACCTGTTATTCTAACAGAGGTGACCTCTGAAACAAGAAAGCCATTCTGTATAAACACTGAGCTAAGTGACTTTCCCCATGTCTCCTCAAATAACACCCAAATATCTTTTCTTGTCAAAATCTTGCACTTGTCCCTTAGTATACACAGTAAATCATGACAACCAGTGACTTATTTGAAGGCTGGAGCCCAAAGCAAGAGGTGCCGGTGCTGAAAGAAGTTTAACCAGTCACCAGCCTCTAAAATATTAAGCCATAAAATACAACTCTATTTTTACAAAAGCGGTTTTAAATGACCTGTCAACACAGCTAGTTCCGGCTGGCTTCTTTTTCCTTTCTTTCTTTTTTTTTTTTTTTTTTTGAGGGTGGCAGAAGGAATGAATTAAAAGAAAAAAAAATCATTAGAGGATGGCTTCCGTTTATTTTTATAATAAGTGCACATCTTGCAGTAGGGTAGCAAAACTCTGGGAAGCATCTACCTCCTGTTGAAGCTTAGGAGATTAAGTATCTCTTATCTCTGACCTGGGCAGAATCCTGTGCTGCAGCATGAGGATGACTCACACAGACTGGAAGAAGATCACTGCCCCAGTCCTGCATCCCAGGTGCTGGTCACATCCCAGATACACCACAGTTCTGCCACGGCAATTGTGACATTCCATGTGTGCTGGGCACTGAAAACTGGGCTTTGCATAGAGCTGGGATGTTGAGCTTCATGTGGAGGAAATGCTGGTAGTAAGAGGAACAGGTACGGTGCTGCTGGGAAATAGAGCTTCTGCTAAGGTCACAGCTGCCTGTTGCACTCAGCCAACTTTGTAGTAAAGTACTTGAATGAGGAAATCCCAGCTTTCATGTACAAGCTGGGCAGCTCCTCATATCCCTCCTCTGTGCCTTTACTGCCAAGGACTGGAGTGCCCAAATTCTGCTCAGTTTGTTTGTGGGCTCATTTTGATTGTCTGGCTGGGGATGATACTTGATTTCTACCACCATTTTAGGATCACAGCCCTCAAGCACTGAGGTTGGAAAACTGGACTCCCAGTACGCTGCACCTGGAAATGTCCAGATCTGATCTTCAAAGCTAGAAAGAAAAGTTGATAAACAGCAATCACACCAGGTCCTTTTGGGAGATAAAAGTCAATGCAGCATATTGTTCCTGTTTGCCTGTCATCTGCAACAGAGCTGCGCTCAGGATGATCCTTCCCTCAGTCACACCTCAGGCTCTGGCCTTCCAATTACCTCCATCTTACTCAGCTGCAGTCAGAGGGTGCTGCTGCACACACGACTCACGGCAGGATCCACCTTGCAATCAGACCTCAGGCTGATGATACATCCAAGGGAAAGCCCCAGCTTTGCAGTGCGATGTAATATTAAAAGCTGGTAAGAGGCGGAGCGCTCCGCCTGAGTAAGCAGACATTTGGGCAGAATCATTTTTTTTGTGTGTGCAGAAGAGTATTTTGGGATACTTCTCTTGCTTTAATATGAAGCATTCTGTATCGCTTCATCTGCTTCTCGGTTGTGAGCTGAAAACTTGAGGTGGATTTTTATTGCAGAAAAGAGGGTGTGGAAAAGTTTAGTCAGCACAAAAGTTGAACCTCTCTAACAAAGTCTATAAATTTGCTGTAAGGATAAGGTGAAGGCGCTCCCTTTCCTGTCTAAATGCTTATAAGGAGAAACATTTAATCAAAACCCACTCTTGTACACATGAGCTGTGTGAGTGGCATTCCCTGTCTCATATTTGCAACCTGAAATTTCAAATCAGGGTGAACACAGTCTCTACTATTTTGTTACTTGCTTTATAGCTCCTTTTAAAATACTTTCAGCACGTTCTGAATACTAAATATAAAATAATAGAGTAGTCTGAAAATTAATTGGGAAAAAAAAGAAAGAAGAATTGGGCTGAAATTTAGTTTCCAGAAGACTCTGCTTTTACTAGTGTGAAAGTGATGATTTTCTAATGAGGCTGAAATTAAGTGAGAGCTTTGATCAGATGTCACGAATAGCTCCCTGGCATTGGCCAGGGGAAATAAGCTTTGTCCTCAGAGCAATCACAAGAGCTCAGTCACATTTCTGCCACAGAACAACTTGGAGCTGAGCAAGACCCATCCCTTCCCTCTGAGGTTGCAGTGATCTGAGAACTCGTTCTTTGAATTTCCCATCCCAGGTTGCCATGATCTGAAAGCTTCAGCCTTGAATTTGCACAGGGCTGTAATTTTCCCTGGGCAGTGCGTAGGATCTTTACAAAAATGTTGGAGACGAGCTGTCCTCTGGCACATGGCATGGGGGCAGGAGGCTGATCTCATTGCTCAGCTCTGCCACAGACTCCAGAGTGACATTAGCTAAGTCAATTAGCTTCTGCCCGCATCTGCTTCTCATCTCTAAAAGGAGGAGAGTGGTAATTTCCTACCTCGCAGCGATCCTGTGAGGATCTTTGCAGCTTGGGAAGTGCAGACAGCCGCAGTGTGTGGGGCAGCAGTCTGCTGCATGGGGAGGGGCCGGGGGCCATCAGCAGCCTCGGTGCAGTGTGGTGGTCATGGAATCATCCTGGGCTGGAGGGATCCATAAGGATCACGGAGCCCAGCTCCTAACACAGGAGAGACAAACTGTCAGGAAATGGAGGGGAGCAGAGACTGCTCCAGTGCAAGCTTACTGAGCTTTTGATGTCTCTTCAACTTACATGTTCACCATCTAATTCGGTGACTTAAGCTGTTCTTCCCATTACCAATTTTTTAGGGTTAGAGAAAGACTGAACTGCTGTCTCTAGGGCATGGACACGTGGAGACTAAGCTGCAAACGAGAAGTACTCATCCATACATCTGCTTTTCTGCACAAGTGAGTCTGGCACTGCATTTTGGAAATGTCTCCCATGGACCAGTTGCCATTGGTAATCCCAGTGCTCCCAGTTTTGCCCTCAGCAGAAGCAGGAGGACATCTCATGGCACTGAGGGATGTGGTCTAGTGGGCATGGTGGGGACGGGTTGGACTGGATGATCTTACAGGTTTTTTCCAACCTTAATGACTCTGTGATGCTGTGATTCAATTTCAGCACTCTCAGGGCTTTCCTCTGCCACATTTTATTCAGACAGGAGCAGATTTTTTTCCCCCATATAATAGATGTCCAAAATATATTTACGTGCCAGGAACAAACTGTCAGGTGCTGTATGTGTTTTGTGCTTTTTTTTTTTTTTCTTTCAATAAACGTACCTTTCTAGTTTATTATGACGAGGAGGTAAACGAGCTACAGGAATTATTGCTTATGTGGGATCTCTAAGGCATCCATCAAGAGGGAAGCTTTGCTGCGCTGAGCGCTATGCAACACCACAGGAAGACAGCACACATCCTGGCCAGACCTCTGCAGTCATTTGGGACAAAGACTGAAGAAAGGGAAAGGCAATTGTACCAAATTTGCAGAAAGGTAACTGAGAAGCAGAAGCCCACAGGGCTTAACTGGTGCCACAGCCAGGAAGCAGAAGTAACCACCACTTTGGCACTGTGGCTGTGCTGCTATTACAATTCCATCTTTTATTCCTTCAATCAAGTGCAATCTGTTGAAAAGCAAAATTCAGGGTCAGTTGTTATCCTCGTCGGGAAGGCTCCACAGAGCAGACACCTAGTGCTGCAGACAGGGAAGCATCGGGGTGCTCCTGCAAGGCTGCACTCCTTCCAGTCAGGGAAAAACGGAAATGGGCAAGACTAATTCCTTTTAAATTTATTTGGAGCAAAACAGAGAATTCTAATAATCCCGTCTGACAAAGGAAATGAAAGAGTCTTGGGGGTAATATTGAAAAACTGGTGGGCAGTCAGAGTCAAGGCCATATGGTCCTCAAGCTGTGCTGTCAAGCCGATCTACAGATGGAGACGTATTATCTTACATTAGCACAAAGTTGAGCATTGCAGTAGGCACTTGTGAAACAAACCAGAAGACCTGACGATACGATTGACAATTACTACAAAATCAGGTGAGAAAAAGTCATCAGCCAGAATTGTCCCTCTATGAAAAATAGCTGGAGACGGCACAAACGTCCAACAGGCTCTGCAGCTTACTGATTCCATCCAAAGTATTGAGCAAGTTTTGCAACACCTGAAATGAGGAAGGCAGTTGTTCTGACTAGTCTTAAAAAAATCAGAATCCTGGTCTTTTGATTTCATACTGATTTATTACGCTAAAGGAACGCCAAGCCCACCTCACAGTATCTGTACACCAGCTCACTATCAAATGGCACGCATGGCAAGCATATGGGCACGTGTATCTAATGATCTGATCAAAGGGAGGGATGCACTGAGTGTTCACTAAGAGCTACGACCTACAAGCCTAGCAGTGTGAGCACACACCGAGGCTTTGCTCTGTGACTTACTGCCAGAATGGTTGCACAGG